GGGGAGTGTTGCTGAACAAAGAGACCTCAGAGTGCATAGCTCCTTGAAAGCAGTGCCACAGGTAGACAGGGTAGTGAAGAAGGCGTTTGGTACACTTGCCTTCATTGGACCGTGCATTGAGTATAGGCATTGGGAGGTCAAGTTGTGGCTGTACAGGACATTGGGTAGGCCACTTTTGGAATACTGCGTTCAATTCTGGTCTCTCCAGCATAGGAAAGATGTTGTGAAAAGTGGAAGGGTTCAAAACAGATCTACAGGGATTTTTCAAGGGTTGGAGGGTTTGAGCTGTACAGAGAGGCTGAATAGGCTGGGGCTATTTTCCCTGGAGCGTCAGAGGCTGAGGGGTGACCTTATAGAGGTTTATAAAATCATGAGGGGCACAGATAGGGTGAATAGTCAAGGTCTACTCCCCAGGGTAGGGGAGTCCAAAGCTAGAGGGCGTAGGTTTAAGGTGAGAGGGGAAAAATTTAAAAGGGTCCTAAGGGACAATGTTTTCATGCAGAGGGTGGTGCATGTATGAAATGAACTACCAAAGGAAGTGGTGGAGGCTGGTATAATTACAGCATTTAAAAGGCATCTGGATGGGTATATGAATAGGAAGAGTTTAGAGGGATATGGGCCAAATGCAGTGTCCAGCATTGGCGTTCCTGATGCTGCTTCACCCTCCAACACCTCCCCCACTCCTCCCGCCCAAGGTCTGAGAAGATACGATTTAACATGATGCAGAGTCTTCTCCCCATAAGCAACTCTGCTGGAGCTATCCCTGTAATTGCATTTGGGGTAGTCCTATAATCAAATAGGAACTGGGACAGTTTGGTATCGAATGAAGCTGTACGCTGTTTCTTTAAGCCTGCCTTCAAAGTTTGGACTGCTCTTTCTACCAGACCATTGAATCATGGATGGTACGGAACTGTCCGTACATGTCGAATTCCATTCGAATTTAGGAAATATTCAAATTCCCTGCTGATAAACAATGGCCCGTTATTTGTGACCAACACTTTCCGGGAGTCCGTGTATTGCAAAAGATGCGCATCTCCGTGTTTAATGAATGAACTCCATGCACGTCCAACTACTTTGAGTGGGCATCCAAAATGACTAAGCGCATGAAAGAACCTTCATAATCAATGTGTAACTGAGTCCAGGGTTTACCTGGCCATTCCCACAAATGTGGAGGAGCTGTTAGTGGTAATTTTCGTCCTTCTTGGCACTCTGGCCCTGCCCCACCAATGCAGCTATGTCTACATCCAATCCTTCATCCAAGACATAACATCTTCAGTTTGGAAACCCCTGGATGACCTGGTGGAGTTCAGCCAGTATCTGGCAGTGACCTTTGCTCAGGACAATCACTCTTGCTCCCCATAATAATATACCATCTTCTACTGTGATCTGGGCCCTCTGGGTCCAAAAAGGTTTCAGTTCTGGTTGTGACGGCTTTTTTATCTTCCCCGTCACCACCAGCTGTTTCAGATTTGCCAGGACCGGATCTTTCTGTGTCCAAACTCTGATATTGTCAGCTGTGACTGGAAGCATGTACAGAAAATTAAAAACTATTGTGAACTCTTCCATTGTTGGTACCACCGGTGGTGTATCTGCCAGCGGGAGGCAGCTCAATGCATCACCATTTAGTACCTGGCCTCCCAGACAGTGTTCCAACTTGTAATTATACACACTTAGTATTAGAGCCCAAAGCTGAACTCTGCCTTATCCTCTTTAATGAGACCTAACAGGGGTTTGTGGTCCATTATTATCACAAATGTACATCCATAAAGGTGTTGGTGGAACTTGCTGACTCCAAATATGATGACAAAACCTTCCTTCTCTATCTGGGCATATTTAAGCTCTGCATTAGCCAAAGTGCTGTATGCATACGCTATTGTGCGTTCCTCTCCATTGGGCTACCTATGAGCTCATACTACCTCAATGCTATACGGGGAGACATCACATGTCAACACTACATCTCTTTTTTACCTTTATTCATTAATGGGATGAGGGTGTCTCTGGCTAGGCAGCATTTATTGCTCAACCCTAATTGTCCAGGGCAGTTAAGAGTCAACCACATTGCTGTGAGTCTGGAGTCACATGTAGGCCAGAACAGGTAAGGATGGCAGTTTCCTTCCGTAAAGGATATTAGTGAACCAGATGGGTTTTTCCGACAATCGGCATTGGATTCTTGGTCATCATTAGATTCTTAATTCCAGATATTTTTATTGAAGTCAAATTCCACCATCTGCTATGGTGGGATTTGAACCTAGGTCCCCAGAATGTTGTCTGGGTCTCTGGATTAACGGTCCAGCAATAATACCACTAGGCCATCACCTCCCCTGCTTGGGATCAAAGTGTGCCAACACCTTACAGGATGATAGCCGTTTCTTTACTTGCCTGAAAGCTGTAGCTTGGTTACACAACCATTTCCAAACCTGAACCTATTTTAAGATTGATGTAAAGGTGCCAGGATGGAGGCCAGGTTGCGTATGAACTTTTCGTAATAATTCACCAGCGCAAGGAAAGCCCTAAGCTTAGGTACAAACACACGAGCCAGGGCACCTTTGATCGCCCTCACTTTATCTTCTAATGGGTGTAACCCGGTCTTGTCAACTTTGTAGCCCGAGTAGAACACCTCGGTTGCCAAGAACACTCATTTTACCCTTCTAAGGCATACATCCACACATCATCAAGCTAAATGGTGACCCAGAGTAGATCTTGCTAAATATTCTCCACCATCCACTGGAAAATGGCACAGGCTGATGATACCCCAAAATACAATCTCATATATTGGTACAAACCCTATGATTTTAATTATAGCATACTTTTGGGAATCCTAATCTCACCACAATTGCAAGTACACATGGCTCATGTCCAGCTTTGTGAAGGACTGCCCCTTGCCAGTTCTGAATATGAATCCTCTATGCGAGAGATTGAGTAATTATCCAGCTGCAAAAGGTGGTTTACCGTTTGTCTGAAATTCCCACAAAGGTGAACCGACCTGTCAGCTTCACAATTGGTATGGCCGGTGCTGCCCATTCTGCAAATTGCACTGGTTTGATGGTTTCTTTGCTTTTCAGCCTCCTGATTTCTGCCTCTATTTTTGTTCACAAGGGAAATAGTATTGGGTGGGCTTTGTAGAATTCCTTCCAGGAATTGCTTCCCAGTCAACATGCAAGGTGACCTTGGCCCCTTTGATAGTTGCTAGGCCTTCCTGAAAAGCCTCTGGGTATTTAATTAGGACTTCACTCAGGCAGCCATTTTCTAAGCGAAAAATGTTGAGCCAATCAAGGTGAATCTTCCTCAACGAATTTCACTCCATCAGGCTTGATGTCTTTTACTACAATCAGTGGTAACCGAACCAGCTATTTCTCATAACAGACCGAAACTGAAGTTGTACCCTTAATCTGTAATAGTTTCCCATATAGGTTCTCAGTCTGGCTGAGGTCTTGTGCAAAAGTAAGGTATGGTGTCCAGAACGAATTTTGTTAAAAACTGGTTCTGTGATCACTGATGCAGCTGTGCCAGTATCAACCTCCATTAGAACCAGGTGACCATTTAACCAGACATTTATTTTGATTGGTTTGATTTGGATGTTGGTAAGCAATTTAACTGTTCAAAACAAGATGTAGGCGGCCTTCCGGGGTGCTCACTCTCCTGGATAATGGCTTAAGCGTTCTCTTACTCAGTTTAGGTCTAGTGTGACTCTTTTGCTGTCTTGAGATTGCATACTGGGCAACTACAGTGGCTTGCTGGCCCAGATCCTGAAGAAGATTTTAATAGTTTGGCTGAGGTTTGTCTTTGTTTTGGGGTTTTGCTGTGGATTGACCTAGAGTCCTTCTGTTTTAGGATATTTCCTGAGTGAGGTTATACAATTGCTTTCACTCACATGGTGTTCCCCAAGCTCAGTTGGACTGGTGAGGGTATCCACTTCCATCAGAATATCCTGCAATTCATGCTCTGCTTGCTGCATCTTCTAAAGATAAATCCAGTTGCAGTGCCTGTTTGAAGTCCAGTTGGGCTTCAGCTAGTCCATGCTTTTGCATGGTTACATTATTAACTCAACTTATCAAACAGCCTCTCAGCATCTCATTAAGGGTTAAACCAAAGTCACATGCCTCTGACAATTATCTTAACCTAGTCAAACACCTTGACACAGATTCCCCTGATTCTCAAGTTGCCGAGTAAAACTGATAGTGTTTCAGAATTAGAGGAGGCTTGGCATCGTAATATTTCTTAACTAAATCCGTCAACTCTTGAAAGATTTTATATCTGATGCCTCAGGGAAGGTTAGGCTCCTAATAACTGAAAAAACTGTGGGTCCACAAGCTGTAATGAGAATTATTCATTGCTTTCCATCTGTTGCAATGTCACTTGCCCAGAAAAAATAACACATTCTTTCCACATACTGGATCTAGTCTTCAAAGGCAAGATTGAACGAGTCAAGCTTCCCAAATAACGGCTATATACCAGAAATGCTTACTCCAACTCAAAGATGACCATTGTCTCTCGTCGCCACTAAAATGACTCCACGGAGACCGGTATCACACTATCAAGTCAACCTTTATTTACGTGTGGAAAGTGCTTGACACTGATCCAGGTCTCTCAGAGAGAACAGAACCTCTGACACTCCTGTTTACATCTGTCAGCCAAGGCTCCCAGATTGGACCAGATTAATAGCCCTGATGAGAGAACTCCTATGAGACCCACCTGGCTGACCTTGTTACAATCTCTACACCGGTGCTGCCAGACTTGCTGGGTTTCCCAGCAATTTCTATTTTTGTTCCCTAAATCTGACATCTGAACAAGCTGTGGTCAGCTGTTCTCATATCTCCTTATCTAGTTGCCAAAGTTTTGTTCTGATTATGTTCCCAGGAAGAGCTTTGGAATGTCTATGTTAATGGTGCTATATAAATGCAGGGTGGTTATAATAAGCACTGCCTTGTTTTAAAGGTGGAGCCTGTGCTATGAAATCTTATTGCAGCTCTGTTTTGCAGCCTGAAACAGTCCAACACTGAAGCTGTTTTGTATCCAGATCTGACTCTTGGAGCTTCCTCAATATTGCGAAGTGGGTTGACAGTTTCTAGCATTGCTGTATGACAATGAGGATGTGGCTGACCTGAAACTGTTAGCAATCTCACAGCGTGCTGACTAATTGTGAAGGTTTGTGACTTCCTTTTGCTGTTACCTCTGCCTGTTTTTGCTCAGTTGCTTTGTACAAATGCTTTTTAAAACAATCTGGGAAATTTTCTGAATGTGGTATAGGGGATCTGAAGCGTCTACATCGTGTATTTGTGGCGAGCAATTCTCTGCCCATGCTATTTTTGGATGAAAATGTTTCAGAGACTCTTAAAGGGTTAATTTAGCGGCGCTGAATTTGCAGAATTGGAGCTGGTATTGGTGTTTTCTCCCAGTGCAGCGGGTTGTGCTTGAGGCTGGAACATTACTTCCTTCTGCTCTCGGAAAGCAGCTGTTCTCAGTATCTTGTTTACATCTGTGACTTTCCTCTTCTGGCACCCAGAACCTACACGGGGGGAGAGAGGACCATTTTGTAAGAGTTTGGGTCACACACTGACTTTGATCATCAGTTTGTTACAATCTGGACCACATGAGGTGAGTAAGATGATCCTCATATTGGTGAGTTTGTGTGTCTGTGTGCTGTGTGTATTTATCCCGTGTGTATCTCTCCCTAAGTACATACGTGTCACCATGCATTTGTGTGTGTGCTTTTCCTATAACCGACCATTCCGTTTATTAATTAAAAAATGTATTCCAGATCATTTTAATTGATCCATAATTACGTAGGGGAATTCATCAATACCGACTCCACCCAGACAACAGAGAGGATAAGACTTGTGTGTCAGTTCTGATCTGTAATTGCCACATCTTCTGATGACTGTTTCCAAATTCACTCCACATGCTTCACATATTTTGCATTCTCCTGGGAGAGCAGATTGAAACCAATAACTGGTTCCATGGGGTGGTGTGGGTAATTAGGATCAGCACCCTGATTTAAGGTCACTGTTTGGAGTCACAACCTGGAATGTGATCACAGCATGGCTGGCATGGGGTCAGGAATTGGAGTCTAAGTCCTGGTGGAGTTGGGATTTGGATCTGAATCCTGGTGGGGTCAGGACTTGAGGTCTGACTCCTGATTTGGGTTGGTATATGGGGTTTGGGCAAAAGAATTCCGTAAACTCCTGGTGACTAATTCAGTTACTGACTGGACGACGTGTTAAAATGCACGAGGATTGTCTGGTTGGAAATGATCCATTTACAACCAGATCCGGTTGAGGGGGCGGTGTGTACTGGGTTGTATGGGGTCAACCTCAGGCTGCAGTTAATTGGAAGTGTCTTCAGAGATCCCACTGGATTGTGATAAGAGACCAGCTCTCCTTGTGCGTTGTCCTGTTTATAAATGTCAAATCTCTAGAGAAACCAAATCCATAGCCTATAAATAAGAATCCTGAAAGTTGACACGAGTACAGTCAGGAGTAAATAGGTCAGCCAGAAGCGTGAGTGCCAGTTCTCTGTGCCTCCTCAACCTTTCTGTGTCAGCCCCTGTTGTTCCTCCTCCAACATTCTTTTCTCAATCTTAAAATGAAGTTTTAATAAGAGAACACTTTAGGACTAGTGATCATAATTCTATTAGTTTTAAAATAGTTACGGAGAAGGAAAAGCCTTCCATTAAAGTTAAAGTTCTTAATTGGAATAATGCAAATTTTAATGGTATGAGACAAGAACTTTCAAACATTGATTGGAGTAGACTGTTCACAGGTAAAGGGACAACTGACAAGTGGGAGGCTTTCAGAAGTGGGATAATGAGAGTTCAGAGGCATTATGTTTCTGTTACAATGAATGGTAAGGCTGGTAAGTTAAGGGAACAACAGATAAATAAAGATATTGAAGTTCTAGTCAAGAATAAGAAAGAATTAGATATTACGTATAGACAACTGGGATCATATGAATCGTGAAGAGTATAAAGAGTGTAAGAGGGAAATCGGGAGAGCAAAGAGGAGATATGAGATAGGCTAGGCAGATAGGGTTAAGGATAATCCAAAGAGATTGTACAAGTACCTTAAAAGCAAAAGAGCAACGACAGAGAGAATAGGGCCCCTTAAAGATCAACACAGTCGTCTGTGTCAACAACATAAACAAAGTTGCTGGAAAAGCTCAGCAGGTCTGGCAGCATCTGTGGTGGAGAAAACAGAGATAATGTTTCGGGTCCGGTGACCCTTCCTCAGAACTCCAGTTAGGGAAGAAATTGCAGGGTCCTTGGCAGAAATCTTTGTATCATCCATAATCATGGGAAAGGTGCCAGACGACTGGAGGCGGGCTAATGTTGTGCCTTTATTTACGAAAGGCTGTAAGGAGAACTATAGACCTGTGAGCCTGACATCAGTAGTGGGTAAGTTGTTGGAGGTGATTCTGAAACATAGGATTGACATGCATTTGGATCGGTAAGGACTGATTAGGGATAGTCAGCATGGTTTTGTGTCAGGGGAATCATGTCTTACAAACTTGATTGTGTTTTTTGAGGAAGTGACTAAAAGGATTAGGGCAGAGCAGAATTCGTTATGTGCATGGGTTTGGTTACGTGGACTTCAGTAAAGCCTTTGACAAGGTTCCGCATGGTAGACTAATTAGTAAAATTAGATCACTTGGGATTCAGGGTGAACTTGCCAATTAGATACAAAATTGGCTTGATGGTAGGATACAGAGGGTCGTGGTGGAGTGTTGATTTTCAAGCTGGAGGCCTGTGACTAGTACTTTCCACAGGGACTGGTACTGGGTTCATTTTTGTTTGTCATTTATGTAAGCTATTTGGATGAGAATTTAGGAGGCACAGTTAGTAAGTTTGTGGATGACACCAAAATTGTTGGCATAGTGGACAGTGAAGAAGGATATCTAAGATTACAAAGAAAGCTTGATCAATTGGGTCAATGGGCTGAGGAATGGCAGTTTAATTTGGGTATATGCGAGGTATTGCATTTTGGTTAAACAAACAAGGGCAGGACGTGTACAATTAATGGTAGGGCCCTGGGTAATGTTATAGAACAGAGAGACCTAGGGGTTCAGGTATATAATTATTTGTAATTTGTGTCACAGGTAGACAGTGTGGTTAAGTAGGTGTTTAACATGCTTGCCTTCATTGCTCAGATCTTTGAGTATAGGAGTTGGGACATCATGTTGAGGTTGTGCAGGATGTCGATGAGGCTTCTTCTGGAGTACTGTCTGCTGTTCTGGTTACCCTATTATAGGAAGGATATTATTAAATTGGAGAGGGTTCAGAAAGGATTTACCAGGATGTTGCTGGGAATGGAGGGTTTGAGTTATAAAAATAGACTGGGACTTTTTTCACTGGAGTATAAGAAGTTGAGGGGTGACCTTATAAAGGTTTATAAAATCATGGGGGTCATAGATAAGGTGAATAGCAAGGGTATTTTCCCTAGGGTGAGGGAGTTCAAAACTAGGGAGCATATTTTAAGGTGAGAGGAGAAAGGTTTTGAAAGGACATGGGGACAACCTTTTTACACAGACTGGTTCATGTGTGAAATGGGCTGCCAGAGGAAGTGGTGCTCACAGGTAAAGTTACAACATATAAAAGACATTTGGATAGGTACATGAATAAGAAATGTTTGGAGGCATATGGGCCAAATGCAGGCAAAAACGGTATTAGTTTAGTTTGAGAACATGGTCAATGTGGACTAGTTGGACCAAAAGGTCTATTTCCATGCTCTATGACTCTATGATCCTCTAAGAACTCTTATTTTTAAAATGTGTTCCCTCACATGCTTCCTAGGAATAGTCATAGACCATTCAGTCCCTTAAATCTCTCCCACATAAGCATGGACTTTATATTCAATCAAGTATCTATCAAACTTAGCCTTCGCTGCTCTGTTGTGAAGACATTTCCAGATACTTCCTTATCTCCATCTGAAAGGGAAGAGCACAAAGTTTTAAACGGTGTCCCCTAGTCGTAGATACTCCCACATGGGGAAATATTCTCTCGGCATCCACCCTGTCAAGTCCTCTCGGGGCTGATTATATCTCAAGAAGACCACATCTCATTCCTGTAAACTTCAATAGGCACAAACTGCTCAACGTTTCCACATCAGATAAACCCTTCATCTATGTTTCTTATTACACTGGTGTCTGCTTGGCTGCTACAGTCCTCTTTCACTGTAGTGACCCTAACTTGCCTTGCCCTTGGCACTGTAAAAGCCAGAGTCATAGCCTCAGGTGCCTTCACTGTGTTAGGAGGAATGCAGTTGTAGTTAACGTACTGGTTGGCTTGCTATAGTCATGCAGCCTGTACCTCTGCCTCTACTTAAATGCCTTCGGATGCAATCTGTGGCAACAATTAAACAGACATCGTTTGAAACATGGTGTCAAAGTGGTACAGCTGAAAATGTATCTCATTAACTACCTATCCTGTCCCTCACATGCAATTCTAGACCCAGCTTACCACACACGGTTTGAAAACAACTCACCATTCACAGATATCTACTGAAATGCTTGCCTTCCGTGCACTCATTCTATCTTTAAAAGCCCATTGTGCACCTGGACAAGCTCTGTCAGTTCGAAGCTGCACTGCACGGTTCCTGACATTTGATCTGACATGGCAGACAGGGGGATGTCAGTGCCCCACTTTACGGATAAGGACTTGGAGCTCCTCCTGGGGTCTGGTACAGAGGCAGGCCATCCTCTTCCTCGAGGACCAGCAATGGAGGTCATGACACCAGACCATGCCCAGGCTGCTCTGAGGTTACTACCTGGGTCAGTGCAGATATTCAAACAGAAAGCTTGACATGGTTTTAACAGTCCTCCATCCAGTAAAGGGGGGTAGCTTTCAGTCAATGAGTCTTGGCTTAGTAAGTAAGGGCAGTGTCCAGTATTAGTCCAGGGGCTTAGACACAATCAGTGAATACTTCCGACAATCAGTGTCTGGATGCCGTTCTCATAAGGGTGAGAAATCGAATATAGAGCAGCCCACAACCCATCTTGAATCTTTCTGCTCTGTGTGGGCTGTTTCCTCCTGGAATGAGAGAGATAAAAGTGGGTGGCACAGCTGTTACTTTAGGTGCTAGTGGGGTGGTGTCCTGAGTGGCAGAGTAAGCAGTGCAGAGGGCACTGTTGTTAGGGAGTGGGCAATGAGAACGAATAGGAAAGATGTTGTACGCAGTACTTACATTGATAGAGCACGAGCCTTGGTGGGAGGGGAGTAATTTTGCTGAGACAGAGTGAGTGTAAGATATCAGAGAGAAGATGGTAGCATTTACCTTGGTGGGAGAAGGACATTGACCTTCTACTTAAATTGCTGGGCATTTCTTCAGACAGCTAAGACCCCAATGAACAAGATGGCAACCTCAGGCCAGGCTGGGCATGGTCTAATGTCATGACCTCCACTGCTAGTCCTCGGGGAAGAGGATGTCTGGCCCCTGTATCACCCTGTCCAGGATGCAGCAAAATGGTCTGGTTGTCACAGCTGACCTTGATGGACTTCTTGTCAGATTCTGCCACAAATCCCACCATAGCCCTCTTCACTCAAACCCTAGAATATTTAGCCGTGAGAGTTTTCACAACTGAAAGATGGTCTCATCAGAAATAGG